ACCCATGTCATCAGCAATAATAATCTGTTTTTTAGATATGACAGTGATTTCCTGATTTTGTTTATCCATATAAAAGGATATATTCTTGTAACTTAACTGACATAAAAAAATGATAGAATATTTGAAAGTATATGTTATTCTGCAAGTAACAGCTGAAGAAATACTCTGAATTCTCAAGAAAACAGAAGTTCAGCATTTTGGTCATGTTAGTGAGCTCAGGTCAGTAGTTAATAAGCCAGTGACATTATACAAAAGATAATTTAGGGAAAAAATACTGGGGTTTCCCTGTGACAAGCTGACTATGGAGGTGGGAGTGAGAGAGGAGAGGGCCTGGCTCCCCAAATCCCTCACACACATCAGGTAAAGCACCTGGCATGCTGGAAGACAGAGGCAGACAGAGCCAGCTCCCCAACAGTGACAAGCCCGGGCATCCGGGCTCCCATCCCACCGAGAGCAGCAGGGAATCTGCCCCCAGAGCTTAGTGGGACACAAATGGAGTTGAAAGGAGAAAATTGGCATTTCAAGTGAGACAAGTGAAAAGCATTCTGTACTGAAAGAGGATTATAAAGGTGAAGAGCTCACAGAAGTCAGAGATTGAAGCAAAGGGGGTGCTGAAGTATGGAGTGGTCAGAACACAGCTATAGAAACTGATGTGTGTAGACTAGCCCAGCCAGCAGAGCTGGAACAGGCATGTGGCAGTATTGGAGTTCCTCTCCTCATTATGGACTATGCAGTAAAATCTGGGAATGCTAACGCTCCTCAGGGACACATCCACAGTGATACTGAACAGGATCCCCTGAGCTGGGTACTAGGAAAGCTACCTTGAGGCCCCAGATCCTAGTATTAAAAACTGAGATTAAGCTGGGTGCTGATGGCACATGCTTGTAATCCTACCTATTCAGGAGGCTGATTCTGAGGATCACTGTTCAAAGCCAGCTCAGGCAAACAAATCAAACTCTTTTCTCCAACTAACCATCAATAAGCTGGGAAGTAGAGGACTGGCTCAAGTGGTAAAGTGCCCACCTTGAGCAGAATAAGCTAAGGCAAGAGAATGAAGCCCTGAGTTCAAGCCCAAGTACCTACACATACGCACACGCAGATGTGCAGACACACACATACAGAAAGTTGAAATTAGGCCTACTTTCTCTCCTCAGAATTCAGAATAGAACACCTTTTGTTTATGGATGAGATTATCCATCAAGGTCAAGGGCAAAGGTCTGGCCCACAATTGAGTGTCAGAGGCCAGTGGCACCCAGGTTCCCCAGAATCTAACATTACCTTTCAAATCACTCTGAAGCCCCTAGAGTTGCTTTTTAATCCCTTCTTACCACATGATCTCATTTAACTAATTTATGACTACAGGCTGCAGACTGAATTACAGCTATTTGTTTCCCTTCCCCAGTTACAAGTTGAAGAAAAGCAGGCTTCATTAATTCAAGTGCTTATCTCCAAACAGCATGTTAACAAGCTTTTCAATGGTGCCCCAGCCACTGAGTTTTCTGAGAAGGTGAAAAGGCTCCTGGTCCATATGGTCCCAATTCTTGTACATTTTCATTTGCAAGCGCTAAGGTTGACAGATCTGCTAGGAGCAAATGGGGTGTTAGTTAATATCTAATTACTCCTAACACGAGTCACAGCCCATTTAACTGAGGCAGACGCCAGTCTTAGCTTCCACAGACTATCTAGGACATCCATTTACACTGTCAGCCACATGGCCTTGTCTGCCTACGTAAGTTTTACAATGCAATGTGAATCCAGGTTGGTTTCTAGTCTAACCATTCCCTTATTCCCTAATATGCTAATGGGCCTTGGGATAGCAGTGAGTTAAGCTCATGGTTTTCTAAAAGTAGTAATACTAAGATTTGAATAACAGAGCTCATGTCTGGTTATTACTGTTTGGTTGGGAAAGTGCCAGGAAGGGGAATCTGTTGGCTGGAGCTATCTTACTGGCAGAGTCCCTGAAGCCCAAGGAAATGTCTGGAACAAACAGCACCTGTTTCTTCAGTTTGAAATACGTTGAATCACAACAGTTTGGCTCAGAGCATATCTCTGAGACATACTTGGCCACAGCAGTTAGAATGGGGTTAGAATAGTCAGGATGTCACTTGGGTTAACATAACCTTCCCCCTTTCCTCAGGGGCAGAAGAGATCCTGGAACAAGACCATGAGGAAGTGTTGTGAGATTCTCCAGAATTGCTCAGACCTACTTTGAACAATGTGCTGGAAGAGAAGGAGAATGAATAAGCTGAGATCTGATTATATTCCTTAGATATACTTAGGGCTAAAAATGCATGGCAACTGATTTATTTAACCTTTTGCTTAAAGGGGAAATATGTAAACAGTCATCAGGAAGCTCACCACTGGTAGTTCATATCTGAAATTCTAGTTACTTGGTAGACTGAAATCTGAGGATCATAGTCCTAAGGCAGCCTGGGCAGGAATGTCTATGAGACTCTTATTTCCAATTAACCAGCAAAAACCTAAAAGTGGAGCTGCAGCATAAGTGGTAGAAATGTGCCTTGAGTGAAAAAGTTAAGGGACAGTGCCCACTCCCCAGTTCAAGCCCCAGAACACACACACACACACACACACACACACACACACACACACACACAGTCAACAGGAATCTCCTCAGCAATTAGGCATTGGATAATTCATCTGAAGGCAACAAATGATGACTAGGAACAATCTAAAAATATGTAGGAGATAAAATGGTGGAGAAGTTCAAATTCCATCCAGTCTGCAGCTATGTTCTAGAACTTCTCAAACTTAGGTACCATGTGCGTGAATACAATCACTCCATCAAGATTATTTTATTTATTAAAAAAACACTCCAGAAAAAAGGCAAAGAATTAAAAGGATTTTAATAAAATCAACAAGTTTACATTTGTACATCTTGTATATTGGAACCCAGTGGTGGGGAAGGGGTTAACGATAAGAGTTGCAGACACAAAAGTTTCATGGACAGCAAGCAAAAAAGCAAGGGCTAGTTTAGCTGCTTAGGGGGTACCCATGGGAGAGCGAGACCCCATGGCTGGGACCCTGTGGCCACCTCCCTGCATTCCTGAAGTGACAAGGCAGCTTACTAAGCCTGTCAGCATGAGAAGTGCTGGTTCGGTGCTCAGGTCCAATGCCACAGCCTATGTGACACTCCTACATTAATACCTGACAGGCAACGGTGGATAAACAGTTCATAAAATAGTACTGCCCACAGAATATTAATGTAAGCCCGAGCTCCACTCACACGGTTTAAACCAGAATGGTTCCGTCAAGCTAATGAGAGGGAAAAGGCCCCAGTGTCAGTTCTAATTGCTCCATTCAATGGCACAGTTGCAGAAAAACAGCAAGAGAAAGAACCATGTATTTGTTTTACAAAACAGGATTTAAGAAAAGAACCTCGCGAGAGTGAGGCAGGTCAGAGAACGTAGATTTTAGCATGAAATGATTCTGCACATTTTCACAGGGTTCTGTTTGTGTTAAAGGATTTGGTTGATGAAAAACTCCTCCACTTTAATTCTCATTCTTTGAATGGATGAGACAGACGTTTCTAACAACTGATCAAGGTCCAGAGAAAAGAAAAGGGACTAGTGTTCCAAGATTAAAAGTGAGCGAGCATGTGCCTTTTCTTTATTTTCTTTTTGTGCTAGTACAAGGCTTGAACTCAGGATTCTCACACTTGCATGGCCTTTCAACTCAAGGCTGGGGCTCTACCACTTGAGCCATACCTCTACTTCCTTGCTCTTTACCCAACTGCATCATTTTGTGTATAGGGCAAACAGTGTTTTTAAAAACACAACACTGGGCTGGGAAGGTAGCTCAGTGGTAGAGTGCTTGCCTTGCATGCATGAGGCCCTGGGTTCAATTCCTCAGTACCACATAAGCAGAAAAAGCCAGAAGTGGTGCTGTGGCTCAAGTGGTAGAGCGCTAGCCTTGAGCTGAAGAGCTGAGGGAGAGCACCCAGGCCCAGACTTCAAGCCCCATGACTGACAAAAAACAAAACAAATGAACAACAACAACAAAAAAAAAAAAAAAAACCCAACACCGCAAGTACAGGTAGCTTGTCTTCTTTGAGGGTCATTAGCCCTAACCCACAGGCCACAATGGTGACATACACCCAGATATACCTTGGTGGGAGCAAGGGACCCTGCTCTAGATCAACACCAGTTTACACAGCACACAGGTGTGCTAAAAGAATTCTTTAGCCAACTGAGACATAGTTAGGAGGAAATGACATTAATCCCCTCCCAAGAATGCAGGGAGATTTTGCTTCTTGGCTCACTTAGAATCCCAAGAGGAAAAAAAAAATACACTGATGATTATTAAAACAGGAAACATTTTCTAACGAATGAGCAGTGAGTGAGCTCTGGGCTGATGGAGAGGCTCCTCATGTCAATGTTCTGATGCTCATTCCGAAGCATCACTGCACAGCGTGTGTTGTCTTTATGGAGGGGTCCCCGAGGAGTCTACCATCCCAATGAGGAAACTCAGAGGAGGGCAGTGGAATAACAAGAGCATGACACGAATCCCACATGGTGATGGTTAGACAGACATTTTCTTCTGAGGGCTCAGGAAAGCTCAAGGCAGGTGCAGAAAGTGCTGGGAGGTAAGGGAGGCCTGACAGGACCTCCTTACCGGGTTGTGCTGGGAGCAATGGTGCCTTGGTCAAGGGCACAGGCAGCTATGAGGGAGGCCAACATCAGCCTCTCTTCAGGAAGCACGCTTGATACAGCTTATCACGTTTCCCTTTTAATTTCCCAAATCTTCAGTAGGAGGTATGTTATAATGAGGGGAAAAAAAAATCCCTAATGAGTATGAAAGAGGAATTTCTAAATGACAGCAAAACTGCAGACAGTATGAACTTAAATAAAAAACGTTTAGTGGAACATACCATCATGGTGTTTCCAACTGGCAGCTGATGTGATTGGAAAGAACCCGCCCTTGCCCTCACCTTCCCTTTCTTCTGCCATCTCGGGGATGGGCGAGGCAGAGTGGAGCTTGACTGGCTTTTAAATAGATCTCCATTTGCCAGGCAGCAGGAAGCACAGGAATTTACCCCAGAGTCAGTGTTTAGGTAAACAGGCGGCAGCTTCAGAGGTTGAAAGCTAGGTGGGACAAAGGAACAGAAACTATAACCCTAAGTTCAGCCCCTCCAGGGGCAAGTGTGGAGCCCATGTGGACGGAGAATGCTGCTCTTCAGGAAGGCAAGGTGCCCACTTCCAGTTTCTGCATCTGGACGCTTGCCTGAGCCTGATAGGGCTTCTTCTCCAGACACACAGAACAACACCTGTCCAGGGCACAGGCATGACTGGAAGTGTGTCTGCACTGCACAGATTCCCTTCTTACCAACACCTGTGCTTCCCATGACTGTTACCTGGACAGGTGACTCCCTATCTGTGTGTTTTGGAAATTTGCAGGGATTTTCCATTTACATTCATACCCAGGGTGGTCAGCAGGGAGGTGTCCTTGCTTCTCAGGGGTCGGGGATAGCGTCTCCTAGTACACAGATGCCTCTCTCCATCCTCATGCTGCCAAGCATGCAGCTCTCTACAACTTGCATCCAGCAGGCTGGGGAAAGAATTCAGAGTCCCCTTGCACCCTGAGGCCAAGCTTTTCAAGTCCGGGTGCCGGGGCTGGGGGAGCTGGGGGTGGCGTGTCTGCTGGCAGCACAGTGGGTGTGCACAAGCCCTCCATTTGGGTATCTGACAAACACAGGTTCACCAAAGGGGTTCTGGCAGAGCTGGCAGAGCTTTTTGTCTGAGAGCTTGATTGCACTTCCCTTCAACTTCATCTGGAAACAGAAACAGACAGTGAGTATGCCAGTATGGAATTTACCCACCAAGACCGCTTTATATCAACTTCTTGAAACAATCCGCAGGAAGCGGAAATAAACAAAACTATTCTTAGTAACCTGAGAAGTAAAAAAGCTACAAAACCACTTTTCTTAGAAAATTTACATGTTGCCAGGTGCCGGTGGCTCATGCCTGTAATCCTAGCTACTCAGGATCTGAGGATTATGATTCAAAGCCAGCCCAGGCAGGAAACTCCATGAGACTCATCTCTAATAAACCACTAGAAAACCAGAAGTGGTGCTGTAGCTCAAGTGGTAGAGTGCTCGCCTTGAGCTGAAGAGCACAGGGAAACCGCCTAGGCCCAGAGTTCAAACCCCACAACTGACCAAAACAACAACAACAACAACAAAAAAAAACTTACATGTTGCTGGGCACCTGAGGCTCACATCTCTCACATCTGTAATCCTGACAACTCAGGAGGCTGAGATCTGAAGATGACAGCTCAAAGCCAGCCTGGGCAGACAAATTTGAGACTCTAATCTCCACTTAACAGGCAAAAAGCTGGAAGTGAAGGTGTGACTGAAGAAGCAGAATGCCAGCCTTGAGTGAAAAAGCTAAGGGAGAGAGCCTGGACTTGAGTTTAAGGCCAGTATCGGCATACACATGCACAACACGAAACCTTGCTTGTCTAGCCTATATACTTAGACGTCACCCTCCAACATTCTCAAAGCTGTTTCCACCAGGCCTCCTGGCATCGGTATCAGCCTACTGGATCCCTATATGTCACCTAATGTCCTGGCCTTTCCATTTACAAGTAAAATAAGTAAGGCACAAATTGGGGACTTGGGCAAAATTATTAGTTCATTAGTGCCACGTTCCTGATGGACCCTGGGAAATACGATTTCTTTTGGAGGGTCATTAATACAATGAGCCTAACGCTGTCTATCTCATCTCATCTGCTAAATAGGACTGGAGTTTGCAAGTTAAATCCTTCTGTATAATTCACTTGTGTCAACTCGGTAGCACTTAGTGACTTCTGCATTCATAGTTACACTTATCATTTAACAAACATTTATGTAATGCTTTCAACACACCAGGCCTGGCTCTAGAAAAACTAAGACGTGTAAATGCCCTTTAAGAACTCAGAGTCTAACAGCAAATAGAAACAATTATATGTAAATAAAAATATGGACACATACACACAGTACACAGGTTCCAACATGGAGTAAAAGGGCAGCCCGTACTTCAAGTTGAGTGTTCATTAAGCATAAAGGAAATGGTAAGGGAATTCCAAGTGGTAGGACAGGGCTAGGGGGTAGGAGACAGCATGCCATGTGCTAGGAAGCATGGGGAGATGGGAGGGTCAGAAACAAGGAAGTAGACTGCATCTCCCAGGCCAAGGAGCAAATGAAGGACTTAATGTGGCAGAGAACATGATTCTCCCTTTGCCAGCTATGTGGAGCATTCACAAGGGCTACAGCTCAGGGAGAAGCAGCAGGTTTTTTTCTTTGTGCCAGTTCTGAGGCTTGCTCAAGCTATCCCACTATTCAGTCAAAGAGAGTGCTCTACCACTGGATCCGTCGCTCTGCTTATGGATCTTTGCTGGTTAACTGCAGAGTCTCATGGACTTTCCAGCATGGGGTGGCTTCAAACTGCAATCCTCAGATCTCATTCTACCGAGTAGCTAGGATTACAGGTGTGAACCACCAGTGCCTGACTGAACATGGGTTTCCGAATCAGCCCAGAATCAACTCTGAGCAAGTCTACGTACAGACCATCTGACTTGCCTGTGCCTCAGTTTCCTCTTAATGTAGATAAGACTGATAAAGGGCAATGACACAATGCCATTCAGTGTTTGCTCAGCAAGCGCCACTCTTCTAGCATTATTTTCCTTCCCTCATCTTTCCTCATACACTCCACTCCTTAGCCAAAGTGTCAAAGAAGGAGGAAAAGGCAGCCCAGCCCAGCCTCAGCCTGTGTCCCCAGACCTCAGCATCTAGTGAAAAACTCACAGAGAAAGAAACAGAGAAATTAACCAAGACCATTCCTCAGTAGCTAAAAAGCTGACCTTCCATGAAAGGCCACTCACCTTGTCATATGTGTAGATCAAGTTTTCCGACCTTGCCAGGCCAAGGGCTACCTGTGTGGTCCTCCGGGTATGGACACTGTCTCTCACGGCCCCCATCAGGAATGGGCAGAGCAGCTGCACTGACCAGGTGCCTGGCAGCAGCTGCAGCACTTGGGTAGCGTCAAATTCCCTGGCATGCCGGTTGAGCAGGTCCACGGCTGGCATGGCCAGCTCATGGGCAGAGGGGCCGGCGTGGAGGTACATGGCGAGCAGCATGTGGAAGAGGCGCTGGCGGCTGGGTGCGTCCTGGCCCTCGGAGCCCCACAGGCAGTAGTCTTCGGCTGCGGAGAAGTCCCCCAGCTCGTGAACCAGGATATGCAGGGCCTTCTCGTGCTCGCGCAGCTTCCCGTGGAGGATGGCGCGCTCCATGGGCAGCCCAGCACCCTGGATCTTCTCTGTCGGAGAAAAGTGTTTCTCAGAGATAGGCAGGCTTGGTGAGGGCCTATCACGTATATACCCAAGGGCCCACAGCTCTCAGCCTCAGAAAGGACAGGCGAGACACTGCTAAATACTGCCACTTAGACCATCAACTGAAAGGCTGCCTTGTGTTGTCACCTTAACATTCTGGGTCTTAGTAAAATAGAAGACAGACTCCACTGTGGAGGGAATAAACAAAACAGCTATGGTCTTGGAAGGCCACAGTGAATCAGTGACTACCGAACTCCTTGTGTGCAGCAAACACATCACTCACGCCCCTTTCCCCAGTACCACACATATCCTCTGACTAATGTGGGAGGGCACTATAGCTACCAGTTATCCCTCTGTGACCTAAGACTGGGTCCCAGAACCTCTTCCTGTGGATATCAAAACCCCAGTGCTCAACTTCTTCACAGAAAATGGCAGGGAGTCTGCAAACACCTGCACCGTATTCTACATATTTTAAATTATCTCTATATTGCTTACAACATTTAACACAATGTACATGCTAGGTCAACAGTTACACTGTATTGTTAGGGAATAATGACAAGAAAAATCTCTACTTGTTCAGTTCAGTCCTATTTCTTTTTGGAATTTTTCTTTTCTTTTCTTTTTGCAGGTACTGGGATTTGCACTCAAGGCCTCTAGGTTGCTTAGCTTGCTTGCTTGGCTGACATTCTACCACTTGAGTCATGCCTTCAGTCTGTTTTTTTGCTAGGTAATTGGGAAATGGCCTTTTCTGCCTGGAGTGGTTTTGAACAAAGAGCATTTGGATGGGCTGGGAAGGTGGCTCAGTGGTAGAGCACTTGCCTTGCATGCATGAGGCCCTGGGTTCGATTCCTCAGCACCACATAAGCAAAAAGAAAAAGCCAGAAGTGGTGCAGTGGCTCAAGTGGTAGAGCGCTAGTCTTGAGCTGAAGAGCTGAGGGACAGCGCCCAGGCCCAGAGTTCAGGCCCCATGACTGGACCAAAAAAAAAAAAGCATCTGGAAGCCTCTTGAACAGCAAGGATTACAGGCATGAGCCAATGGTTCCTGGCTCTGGAATATTTGCTATCCAGTTGGTAGACCTATAGCTGTAGAGCCCATGGGTAAGAAGGGCCACCTGAGTATCTCCTAGACATATACTCATTTCCCCCCGCCCCCTCCCATTCCCATTAAAAACATACTTCACTGAAGGGAATGTGGGCTCATGGTATAAAAAATTTCCATGTCTACATTATTCAACAAGAAGTTGAAAAAGAAAGAGTCCAAAAGGTTTTCTTGTATTTGTCCTGTAATTAAGCTTCTAGATTATAGGAAAATGTAACTTATAGCAGAGTCAGTCCTGACAAAGGCCCTGCATCGTAGGCCGAGGCTGGCCAAGTTGTTCTGCTTCCTGCCACACCCCATCTATAAAACAGAAGGCTAGCATAAGATCCTTACCTACTGCTAAGTGGGTATTCCACGGCTGACTCAGTCCAGATCTAAGATTAAACCTATAGTTACAGGCATTGAGCATGGAAGCTTGGCCACATAAGGGCGGTCCTTAGGCCTGATGCTCAAGACAGACATCACCTGTCCCATAGCAAAAGGCTGGCTATTTACAATGCTTCACCTAAACACTAGACGAAGCCACAACAGGTATCATCACCCCGTGAAATGTCAATGTATAACTACCACAGCCTGACTTATCTGAGGCACAGGGGAAGGTTCAATGATGGATAAAGTAACTGTGGTGATTCTGTCATCTATACTGACTGCTGGTCCCCCTGTGTAGATAGATAGGACAGGAATCCTATCCACAGCTCCAAGCCTGACACAGCTCCAGGCCACCTAACCAGCCTGGGGTTCTGCCATGGCATTGACATGGCTCCAGGATGTCCTTTGCCCTTCCCAGGCTCATGTGTTGGAAGCTGGGACCTTACTCTGGGAATGGGGGAGGTAGTGGAACCTTTATCATCCAGGGATCACTCCCAGAAGAGATTAGGGTTAGTTCTCAAAAAAGAAATACACTAACCTCCCAACTAAGAAAAGTCCAGGACCGGATGGATTTACAGCTGAATTCTACAAGGCCTTCAAAGCAGAACCCACACCAATACTCCTCCAACTCTTCAATGAAATTGAAAGAAAAAGTTCACTACCAAACTCTTTCTATGAAGCCTTCGTAACCCTCATCCCCAAACCAGGCAGAGACTCATCAAAGAAAGAGAACTATAGACCCATTTGTTTGATGAACATTGATGCAAAACTTCTCAACAAAATTTTGGCCAATCGACTTCAACAATTAATCCAAAAAATCATACACCATGATCAAATAGGATTCCTTTCAGGGATACAAAGCTGGTTCAATATACACAAATCTTCATCACATCAACAAGAACAAGGATAAGAACCACATGGTTATCTCAATAGATGCAGAAAAGGCATTTGACAAGTTCCAGCACCCCTTTATGATGAAGACTCTGGAAAAACTAGGAATCCTTGAAACATTCCTCAATACAATAAAGGCTATAAATGAAAACCCTACAACCAACATTGTACTTAATGGCGAAATACTAAAGCCATTTCCTCTAAACTCAGAAACGAGACAAGGATGTCCACTCTCTCCATTTCTCTTTAATTTAGTATTAGAATGCCTAGCTGTAGCAATAAGACAAGATGCAAACATAAAGGGGATCCAAATAGGGAAAGCTGAAGTAAAACTCTCCCTCTTTGCAGATGATGTGATCTTGTATTTAAAGAATCCCATGGACTCCACTCCCAAATTACTGAAGCTGATTCAAAACTTTGGCAAAGTAGCAGGGTATAAGATTAACCCTCAAAACTCAATGGCTTTTCTGTATGCCAACAATGAGAACAGCACAGCTGAAATCAGGAAAGCCCCACAAAAAAAATAAAATACCTAGGAGATAACTAAAGAAGTGAAGGATCTCTAAAATGAAAACTTTAAAAACCTGAAAAAGGAAACCACAACAGAACTTAAAAAGTGGAAAACCTCCCATGCTCCTGGATTAGAAGGATCAACATCGTGAAAATGGCAATACTTCCCAAAGCTATCTACAAATTCAATGTGATACCTAACAATATTCAAACCTCATTCTTCAATGAAATAGAAGAAGCAATCCAAAAATTCATATGGAACATAAAAGACCCCGAATAGCAAAAACAATCCTCAACAGAAACAACAGTGCTGGAGGAATATCAATACCAAATTTCAAACTCTACTATAAAGCCATAGGAATCAAAACAGCTTGGTACTGGCACAAGAACAGACCTCAAGACCAATGAAATAGAATTGAAAACCCAGAAATGAACCCACAGATCTATAGCCATCTAATCTTCTATAAGGGAGCTAAAAAATTGGTTAATCAGTTGTAGAAAACTAAAGCTAGATCCTTATATATCACCTTGCACCAGAATCAACTCCAAATGGATCAAAGACCTCGGAGTCAAAGCAGACACCCTGAAAACATTACAGGATGGAATAGGAGAAATCCTAGGTCTCCTTGGCACAGGCTGAAATTTTCTTAATAGAGACCCAGAAATACAACAAATCAAAGAAAGGTTGGACAAATGGGATTGCACGAAGCTGCAGAGCTTCTGCATGGCAAAGGACATAGCTAGCAAGATCAATAGAAAGCTCACAGATTGGGAGAAGATCTTCACTAGCCATATAATGGATAAGGGTCTTATATCTAAAATATACTTGGAACTCAAAAAATTTAATTCCCGACAACAAATCCTCAAAGAAACAACTGCCCAATAAATAAGTGGGCTAAAGATTTAAAGAGAACCTTCTTTGAAGAGGAAATAAGAATGGCCAATAGACAATGAAGAAATGCTCAATCTCTCTTGCCATAAAAGAAATGCAAATCAAAACAACATTGAGATTCCACCTCACCCCAGTTAGAATGGCTACAATCAAGAACTCTAATAATAACAGATGCTGGGGGTTCCCCAAAAGGGAACCCTTCTGCATTGTTGGTGGGAGTGTAAACTTGTTCAACCACTTTGGAAAGCAGTATGGAGGTTCCTCAAAAGACTCCACATAGAGCTCCCCTAAGACCCAGCAATCCCACTTTTGGGCATTTACCTGAATGATCACAAACAAGACCATACTAAAGCTACCAGCACAACTATGTTTATTGCAGCATTATTTATCATAGCTAAGATATGGAACCAACCCAGATGCCCCTCAGTAGATGAATGGATCAAGAAAATGTGGTATATATACACAATGGAAATCTATGCCTCCATCAGAAAGAATGACATTGCCCCATTTGTTAGGAAATGAAAGACTTGGAAAAAATTATATTAAGTGAAGTAAGCCAGGTCTCGTGGTTTCCCTTATTTACAATAACTAGTGTATGTCTGAGACAAGCAGAAAGGTCAAAGGTACATATGACCAGATAAGATGATGTTAAACGAAATGAACCCCAAGATAGGGACATGAGTGATTTTTCTTTCTTGCTCTTGTTTCTAACGTATTTATAATGTACCATGTGATTTTTTTGTTGCTTTGTATATTCCTCCCCCACGGTATAACCTCTGCTTTCACTGTATTTGATGTTGGTATAATTTGTGGAGGGGAAGGAAAAAACAAAATGTTTAAATAGGGATACAGGTTGACCCATTGTAACAATGAGATGTACAAGACACTATATTGAAAAACGAACTTTACAATTTAGGCAATGGGGGGTGGTGTAGTTGTGGAGGTGGGAGGGAAAGGATGGTAGGGGAAAAACAAAGGAGGGGCAACAATGCTTGATAAGAAATGTACTCATTACCTTTCTCATGTAACTATAACCCCTCTGTACAGTATTTTTACAATAAAAAAATTACTTTTTTAAAAAAAGAAATACGCTAGCTCCTCCCTCATCTCTCCATCTCTCTGGCTTCATGTCTTTCCATGTGACTTTTCTCTTTCTCTCCTTTCTACTGCTCCCATTTCTCTCTCCTTCCTTGTCACCACATGAGCTCCTACCATAATGCCATCTGTTATTAGACTCCCACCAGAGGCCAATTAATTAATGGGGTCATCCAATCTTAATCTCATGGTCTTTTTTTAAAAAACTGTGGCTAAATGAGCCTCTTTTCTTTAGAAAGTAGCTAGCCTCCAGTACGTTGTTATAGCAATGGAAAAAAAATCTAAAACAGGTATAAAGTATCTAATGTTCTTCCCATAGTGCCTTGGGGCATACTTCCATTTCCCAGTCTTTGTTTTGTTTTTGAGAAGTATAGGGTTTCAAACTCAGGGCCTCTAAGCACTCTACTACTTGAGCCACACCCCTAGTCCTTCCTAGCTTAAGTTATTTTTCAGATAAGTATTAAGTTTTTCCTCAGGGCAGTCTCAGACTTCAGTCCTCCTACATCTATCTACCTTACAAGTAGCTAGAATTGCAGGCATGTGCCACCAAATTATCAGTCACATATGCTAGCCTAGATTTATGCTCTATGACTACTCAAACAGTCTTTCCTCTAGGAGGTTCCCTGAAACCTCCCAACCCAAGGTGTGGTTTGCAGATCCCACGTACCAGGGGGTGCAGACCTTTCCTACATCCTTGTTAAACAAGTCTCTGAGGACCAGAACTCAGCCTCATCCATCTTTATACTGTCAATGCACAGGGATACATTCTATGGACTCAAAAGCTGGCAAAATCATGGAGAGTATGTGATTTTTATAAAGAGGTTTATAAAGCAAAGAGTACAATTGAGGAGGATATATGTGGGTTTATGCAATCACTATGCTATGTCATTTCCCGCAAGAGACCTGAGCATCCACAGATTGATACCCTTAGGAGTTTTGAGGGATGAGGGTAAAGCTCAGTGGTAGAACATTTAGCCTAAAATGCACAAGGCCCAGAGTTTGCCTGCACTACAAAATACCAAAACAGAATACCAACTCCTTAGAGCTTCTGGAACCACCCTCTAGAACACTCAGGGGCAAGTGTACTGGAGTCACCAAAAGGGCTAAAGATGCATGAGAGCTTCACAGTCAAATGCACCAAGTTAAATGAAGGTAAGACTGGCACACCTGCACACATCAGGGCAGCTCCCATATCCCCAGCACTGTCCCTGAGAGCAAGGGTACAAGAAGCTCACACCTTCCAGGAAGGCTGACTCCAAATCAGCACACTCAGGATTCATCCTATACTATCAAAATGATGAGCTCCACCAAGACCAATCTGTCTGCACCTGGGGAGAAGGATGAGTGCATCCTCACCTATGAGAAAGTGGACTCGGTACAAGTCAGATTTCTGCAGCAGGTGCCGTAGCTTCCTCTGTGTCTCAGTGGCTTCGCCGCCCTTGTCGCTGCCAGACATCTTTTGCCGAAGCACCTCTTCCAGGTAGAGGACAGCCAGGTGAGTGTGGTACTCTTCTTTCTGCAGGAAGCAGGGTTCCAATAGACAGCATTTGCCAGAGGGAAGACTGTGGATCTCACCCTCCAGCCAGTATTCCCACAATCAGGCCACTGTAGAGGAGGGTTGGGCAGATTCTCCATCATGGACATGATACCCTTACTGGACTAGACATCTCCAAGAAACCTCCACACTGAGAAGCTGAGTTTACAACCTATGTTGCTGTATATAGTTTAGATGCTGAATGATTCCCAGAGCTGCCTTTGTGTTAAAGACTTGGTCCCAAGGTGGTTGAATCTTCAATAGATGAGACCCTTGAGGAAAGTCTTTAGGATCATGCAAACATTCTGGTTTCCTCTTCCTTTTCTCTCCTGGCTATGAGCTGAGCAGTTCTGCTCTTTCACATGCTGTGCTCTGGCCTCACCATAGGCCCCAAACCAACAGGACCAACTGATCAGATTGTAACCTCTAAAAAACCATGAGTCGAATCACCCTTTGGTCCTTATAAATTAATTGACTCAGGTATTTTGCCATAGAGACAGAAAGCTGATTAACACACATCCACATGTCCACATACACACAAAAGGATTACTTTGTGAAAGGGCCAAACATGGGATGTCGGTGTTCTACAAAGAGGGGCAGCTTCTCACACTTCCTTTGAACATAACAAGATGGGAAAGGGAGAAGGAATGTAAGTGGAGTGGACATGAGATGAAAGATCCAAGATCTGGCCTGGCCCCTTTGGTATCTTTCGCAAAGCCTCATATTCCCTAAGACTATCAGCAAGTACACTGAGTAGTGAGGAAATTAAAACATGACATTATCATTTCTGGAAAGCTGATAGGCAGGTTCCCTCTTCTACATTACCCGTACCACGTGATGGGAAGGTCCACACTTTGGTCTAAGTTCTAAAGAACTCACCTGTAGATTCCTGTCGATAACGAGGTGTTCCAGATATTTAACCAGAGCTTTAGGGTATTTTTTAAGGCAACTGATAATATCATCTGGATTAAAACTGTTCTTCTGCTGGTCATCTAAAGGTCTCTTGGTGAAGACTTGAACTCCAATCTGAAGGAAGAACAGCAATTCAGTTAGCAATTAAGTTTTTAAGTTGCCTTTTGTCATCTTTATTTTGGTCACTGCACATTCATGCTTTGGATCAAATCATCATGGAAAAAGGCAGTGGCTATAATACATAGGAACAGCGTCTGATATGCCAATCAGGCTTCAGCAAGGTGGTTAAACAAGGTGGCTATTGAAACAAACAACCCAGCTTCAAGTCCTGACAAGGACCACCTTTGGTCCTTTGCAGAAAGCGGACAGAAAAGTGGCCTACACTAAGAAATTCTCTGTTCTTCAAAGATAACTGGAAAATTAAAGAATGCATTTACTGATAAGGTTTTGACAAACCACAGAGCACTCATCTGCAGTGTTCCCTCTGAAGAATAAGTGAAAAAAGCAGAGAAAGCACTGGAAACTCAACACTTGCAGCGAATTGTTCTCTGAACAATGACCGTGTACTTGGTGGATTCTTTATTCAATTTAAGCCTCTGAACAAGTTTCCTGGTTGCCTTCCTGTGCTTTTCCCATGCAGTGCCCATCAAATTCTGCTTTCTAAGGAAATATAAAATAGAGAATGAGATCCTTCTTTGCTCTGTGGACACTCAGGTGTGCACATCCTATCACATGCACATATGTGTGTGCATGTATACATACACATCATAATACTAAAAATGAAAATATGCAACAGCTATTAAAAGTATGCATCTGGGGTCCTATAAGCCTAGATCTCTATCTCTATCATGTGAGGTCCAAAGGGACTGTTTCTTAACCTCTCAGAGCCTCAGTTTCCTCAACTGTAAGTCATGCCCAACTTGTATGTGGGGGGGGGGGGGGGGGGGGATTGCTGTGTCTTTCACCCAGGCCAGGTGACAGGTCCATCCTTTGGTGCACAGAATTCCATGCATGGATCAGTTCTGCCCTCTGGGAAGGAACTGCTACTTTCAAGGTGCTAGACAGGATGCTGGAGTGAGGGTAACAAGGTGTGTTATGCAGGTGTGTGAAGAGGGGTGGAGAAAAAGTCCACCAAGCAACATCCCTGATTTCCAGTGGCAGCAGAATACAGGACAAAGCATTCCTGGGCTGCCTCAGGCAGATGGATACCACGCTCTGCATTTAAGACAAAGACCCCTCAACATCAGAGAGCTCACTGCACCTCTCCCAGAAAACCAAGGATACATGTAATTTTAAAATGGTGAAAACAGAAATGTCTGCTGTTTTTGCCCAGGTTATCTATAGGGCATCACTAAGGATTTTGTTACTCTGTCCCAACCAAGCTGCCTTTCCCAACAGCCCACAGGCAAGGGTTTTTATCACTACTCTTATTTCTCAGCCTCTAGGTGGATGCTTTTCTCCATGCCCCAAACTTCCAAGTAGAGGCAGTAAGAAAATGGAGAAGAGGACAACAGTCTTGTGGGCATGGAGAGGCCTGGGGCTGCCACCTGCCAAGGCAATGGCCTGATTCTGCTCCAACAGCAGTGCTAGCCTGTAGCTGGGAGCGGGGAAAAGTGGATTGGAGAGAATTGTGTTTTCAGGAAGACACAGGAAACAGAAGCTGTGGGACTGCTGGCTTTCCACCATGCTGGCCTCTTCAGAAAGAAGTTCCAGCTGGCATCTCCTAGAAGTTCAAAACACCCAGTGGGATTCACACGGTTCAAAGGGAGGCATTTAAAGAAGACTAGAGAAATGTAAGCTTCTTCTAATTAATTCAGTGAAGGGTTCTCTGGGTCTGTTTCTAGGAAGCACTGTGAGAAAGAATAGATTTATAATAGCCATGTGCAGGTGGCTCGCGCTTATAATCCTAGCTACTCAGGAAGCTGAGATCTGAGAGTCGCAGTTTGAAGCTATCACAGGAAGCAAAGTCCATGAGACTCACCTCCAATTAACCACCAAAAAGCCATGGAGCTGTAGGCTCAAGTGATAAAGTGCCAACCAAAAAAGGTAAGGGAGAGCACCCAGCCTGAGTTCAAACCCCAGTACACACACACACACATACACACACACACACACACACACACACACACACACAAATGCATTTCCACACACACAAATGCATTTCCACACACACAAATGCATTTCCACACACACACACACACACACACACAAATGCATTTGTAAAGCACAAACCTCCTCACTTTTCTGCAAGACCCAGTCTGCGTAGGTCCATACCAGCTCTCGGTCTAAGCAGAAGGTTAAAAAATCTACAATATATTCATACAGATCTGAGCGTGTGGAGTCCTGGACATCCCCATCCACGATGTTCACCCACAACTAGAACAAATAATAAAAAAAAGAGAAGGGAAAAACCTTAGGATATTGTATAGCTTCTAACATAAGCTTAGAAAGGTACTATCTGAGCCATATCATCAGCAAAAGACAAAAGAAGCCCACTAAATAGGGTAGGAAGTACAAATCTATCATTTTCACATCAGTACCAAAATTTTTATGATATGGATTGAGTCTCCCTTGATGGAAAGAAATGCTTTTGATCACAAATGTTTCAGGTTTCAGACTATTGTAAGATTTTAGAATAGAGGCATGCACACATGAGGATTCTTGGGACTAGGCCCCAAGTCTAAATATGAAATTCATTTATGTCTCATGAATATACACACAACACAAAGGCATAATATTTTACAAAATGTATAAATATTTATACAGTATTTTACACAATTTGGGACATAAAACCAAGTTATATGGTGTGACCTTTTCTTTTTTTTGGAAGGGGTCTGTCGTGGGGCTTGAACTCTGGGCCTGGGTGCTGTGCCTCACCTCTTTAGCTCAAGGTGAGCACTTTGCCACTGGCGGCACAGCACCACTTCCAGTTTTCTGGCGGTTTATTGGGAGATAAGAGTCTATGGACTTTCCAGCCTGGGCTGGCTTTGAACCATGATCTTCAGATTATCAGCCTCCTGAGTGGACAGGATTACAGGTGTGAGCCACTGGCACCCAGCCTTAGTATGGCCTTTTCGACTTTCAGCATATTAGTACTCAAAAAGGTTTGGATTTGGAAGCATTTTGGATTTTCAGATTAGAGGTGCTTAACCTCTGCTAGTTCTTCAACACTAAATTCTCCATACCAAATAACTGAATTTTGCATACATTGAAAAATGCTGGGGTTTTTTTTCCTAATAGAATGCTTTCACATATGGCGATTTATTCCATATAATTTCAAGTTTGTAAATATCTCTATATAGTTATGCTAATTTTATTACAATGCTTTTATCAAGCTGAAATTCTAAAAACACCACCATGTTTTCAAAAATGAAAATTTTATCTGTGATACACAAATCTATTCTTGGCCTTGGGGGTATGTGTTGATGGGAATCGATTTTCTTTTTACTATGCTCTCCAATTACATTACTATGATAGTTCCTCAAAGCAACCGAAGACTAAATACGTGTCTGGCCTGGCCAAAGTCATCGGGTTGTTGTTACTTGGACTCATGTGGCTGGTGTTATCTTCCTTCACAAACTAAAACTCTAAGGAAACTAGTGCACAAGCAATACAGTTGGGAATGAAGAACAGGGAGGAAGAAGTCCCTTGAGGGGACGGGAAGATGCTTTTTCTTAAGATCAGTGAAAAGCTGTTAAGATGCAAGATGAGAGGCCAGGCTACCAAATAAAATCATGCCATTAGATAAAGCAGAGCATTCTGCCAGTCTCCTCGGAGCACTTGTCCCCAAATCCCAGCTCCATCACTGAGCAGGGTGTGGCCTTGATCAGCTTCAGTCCTGCCATTTAGTTGCCCACAATAGTTATTGTCATTTATTATATATTTATTTTATTTTATTTTATTTTTGTGAACATACTGTACATTTATTATATATTTAACTGTCATTTGTTGTCCCAATTTTCTGATAAGGCAAGGATATCATATGCCTTGTAGCGCAGGAAGAAATCATAAGTTGAGGGGGCACTGGTGGCTTACGCCTGTAATCCTACTCAGGAAGCTGAGATCTGACAATAATGGTTTGAAGCCAGCCTAGGTAGGAAAGTCCATGAGACTCTTATCTCCAATTAACCAGCAAAAAGCTGAAAGTAGCTCAAGTGGTAGAGCACTAGATTTGAGCAAAAAAGCCAAGAAGCCCTGAGAGCAAGAGGCTTTGAGAATGAGAGAGTACCTGAGTTCAAGATTTAATACCACCACCTCAAAAAAGTCCTATATTCAAGTTGAAAGAACAGTGGTTATTAGCAGCTAGATAGGGAGAGGAGAGTTGGGGTCAGAGGCAGGCTGCATATGAAGAACAAAATGCAAGTAGAGACAAGAAACATGTCTTAGTGTTCAATAGCCCAGTTGCATGAACTATAGTGTATAACAGTTTATATTTTTAAGACTAAAGAAGAATTTGGAGGTTTCTAACACAGAAAATGATAAATGTTTAAGGAGATAGAAATGCTAATCACCTTGATTTTATCACTACATATGGTATGCATGTACTGAGTTATTATACTATATCCTACACATGTGTACAATTATGTCAATGAATTATTTTTGCAAAAGAGATCAATACTTTCTGACTTTTCCAATTTTGAAAAGTTTTATCTTGATAAATGTTCATTTTACAGAAAGACAAAGAAAATCCTTAGCCAATATTCCTCAAGAAATTCACTGCCTAAACATTTATTATTTTTGTTCTACATAAAGTTCTTGATCAGGCAAAAGTGATCTCTATCAACCTTGTGCTTTCTTTTTTTCTTTTTTTTTGTAACAGTCCAAAGGTACTGATTTTAAAGTGATGCTAAAATACTTAAGACTCACCTGAACTGCAGCAGCATCTTGGTTATTGTAATGATAGAGTAGTCCAAGTGCAAAGTACCTAGAAGAGAGTAAGTTATTTAGCACTGTCCCTTCCCCTTTCTGCCACAGGTGGAACCCACCCCACATCCCATCCTCAGCCCCTGGTTCTACTGAACTTAGAATATAACAACCAGTTCCAAACAACAAAAGAAACCCTGTTTGTTTTACTTATTCACTAAAAAGTATAATCTAAGGCAGGTGCAGATGGCTCATATCTGTAATCCTAGCTACACAGGACTCTGAGAGCTAAGCATTACAGTTCAGAGCCAGACCAGACAGGAAAGTCCATGAGACTCTTATCTCCAAGAAACTTCTAAAAGTTAGAAATGAAGCTGTGGCGCAAGTGGTATAGCACTAGAGTTGAACAAAATAGCTGAGGGACAGCACCCAGGTTCTAAGTTCAAGCTGACCCCCGCACCCCCCCCACACACACACACACGAAGTATGCTCTATTGATTCTCAAATAGGGTCTGATTCTAATCTAAGAAAAGCCAAAACAGAAAACCATAATAACAACATTAAAAACAACACTGGAGGCAGGGGCGGTAGTTGTGGAGGTAGAAGGGAAGGGATGGTAGGGGGAAAACATACTCAGTAGGAAATGTACTCATTACCTTGCTCATATAACTGTAAACCCTCTGTACAACATTTTTACAATAAAAAACGTACCAAAAACCCCACTGGAATTGTCTTACAATTTGCTTCAAATATTAATTAAATTTCCTCCCCCAATCTCAGCTTCTTGTATAGCATGGGATGATACATGTATGCTACTTTATTTAGATATGAATTGAGAAGGAGTTTCTAGAAATTTTCTGTCTGGGGTGGCCTAAAATTGAGATCCTCCTGATGTCAGCCACCCAGGGTATCTAGGATTGAAGGTGTGAACCACTGGTGCCAGGCAATTATTTCAAATTCCTACTAAAACTCATAGACAAAAAAAAAAAAAAAACCATTATTGCTTACACAGAACTGAGGGCTCACCCATTCCATGCCCTTCATTTTAAGGGGAAGAAAACCCAGGCCTACAATGGTTAGGCACTGTGGCCACCTGCCACAGAAGAAGAAAATGCTGGTCCCAATCAAGCCAGTCATGGTGAATTCACTCCCCATGGACACGAGGCAGCTATCTAAATTAGGGTCGTAATGAAGGCAAAGTGTGAAACCAGGACTTTGTATCAGGGAGACTAAGCAGCTCCCTTTCCACCTACATGTACAGGTATCTATCTCATCAATTTGATTATCACAGACTTCACTGCACTGCAGGAGGCATCTTTCACAGGTGCAATGTAGGTTGACAATAGAGGCAAACATAAAAATCCCTTTATTTAAAAGGAATGACAGAAATGTATGCATTTCCTTACTTATATAACTGTAGCCCCTCTGTACATCACCTTTACAATAAAAAAATTTTTTTAATGGATAATGGCTGAAGAGATGGAAGGCTCCATTGAGGGTGATGGGTACCCCCCTGGGAGGGGAGTAGTAATGAGGGGGTAGTAAATGAGGATAATTTTTTTTTGCATATTTGAAAACAGATCAGTGAAACCTGTTAAAAACTGTTTGAGGAAGAGGAGCAGGATGGGGAAGAGAATAGAGGAAGGGTGACTGACACTCAATGCCTGTGTAGAAATGTCACAAGAGAATCTCTGTACAATTGATACGTGCTAATAAAAAATCTGTTCATTTAACAATAAAGCACATGCAGCTTCCACAGTTAAAAAATGAGCAGGAGTCAGGCGCCAGTAGCTGTGCCTGTAATCCTAGCTATACAGGAGGCTGAGATGTGAGGATCATAGTTCAAAGCCAGCTTAGGGAGAAAACTCTGGGTGATTCTTTTTTTAAAAATTTAATTAATTAATTAATTTGTTTTTATTTTTTGGTCGGTCGTTGGTCTTGAACTCTGGGCTTGGGCAGTGTCCCTCAGCTCTTCAGCTCAAGACAAGCGCTCTACCACTTGAGCCATAGTGCCACTTCCAGTTTTCGAGTGGTTTATTGGAGATAAGAGTCTCATGGACTTTCCTGCCCGGCCTGGCTTTGAAATGCAATCCTCAGATCTCAGCCTCCTGAGTAGCTAGGATTACAGGCGTGAGGCACGGGCGCCCGGCTGGGTGACTCTTATGTCCAATTAACTAAGGAAAAAGCCAGAAGTGAAGCAGTGGTTCAAGTGGTAGAATGCTAGCCTGAGTGAAGAAAGATAAGGGAAAGCATCCTGGCCCTGAGTTCAAGCCCCAGGACCTGCACACAGAAAAAAGAATGGGTAGGAGACCCCTAAGATAGGATGATAATGAGGTTTTCTGAGGAGTACAAGCTGCCTGTAGTCTCTGTCTAGTCACCATGGGGACCCCTGGGAGACCAAGTGTCACTGGCTAAGCTTCCCAACAGTGTTACCAGCAGAGGGCCTCCACACTGGATGCCCATGAGCTGAGCTGGAGCCCTTATAACCCTCCCTGGGAGGGGAGGGAAGAACTACACTCACTTTTTGTGCTTTTCCAGCCAGGCAGCACTGTCGGTGAGGAGGCAGAAGTTTTCAGTGACCAGGAGGTCCAGCAGGCTGTCGTGGTCTGCCTCTGCATAGAGTTTGAGCAAGGCTGTGTCGATGTCTTCTTTATAGCCATTGGCCACCTCTGTGCTGCGGACCTCATTCAGGTAGCTCATGAGAAAACGCTTGCACTTGGCCATCTTCTCCTGGTCGCCTTGGGTGAGCTGGTTCAGGTCTGCGTACTCATGAAGAGGAGGGTGAGACCGGGTGAATGAAGAGGAGGTGGGCAACAGGAAGGGGTAGAGAGAGATCAGCTCCCGGACATCAAGCTGGCCGCTTCTGCAATTACAGTGTCAAACTAAATGAAGCAAAAAGAGAGAAAGAGTACACATAGGCACACAAACGACACTGGAGGGCGGTGCCATGGGCACACAGTCATGGGGTGGATGTGGGGGTGCATGTCAGAAAGACAACCTAAATTGCAAGTTCCATGAAGGACTACCAAACTGGATGCCACCACATAGTTCCAAAAAAGAACAGAGGGACAATGGGGAAAGACACGTATACATACAATGTGGAAGTGCAACACCAAGATATCTAGGCCACTGGGAAGCCCCTGATTAGGCCTGGGCTCCCTCAAAGCCAAGGCATAAAAAGCTACGCTGAGAATAACATGGTATCTGAGTTTGAACAAGTCAGTATCATGATTCCTTCCAAACCAATGCTCTCCTAACATTAAATTGTTAACAGATTGCTGAATGGTTTTTTGAAAGGTACTTCATAAGAATCTAACTTACAATGTTCTCAGTGACAGTCTGAACATGAGACAGAAGTATTCGTGTGGCCATTTCCATTACGACATCTGATAGAATTTCAGAGCAAAACAACGGGACAACACTTTGAAATGGTCTGCATACAGTTGTACACATTGTAATCCCAATCTCTTAGGAGGCAGAGCAAGGAAGATCACCCACGCAAAAAAAAATAGTATCAAGCTGGATGTGGTGGCTCCATGAGATCTGAGGTGCCCTGTGCTTCTTGTTCTGCTTAGGCCAAATCTGCTAAAGGAAAGATGTGCTACACCTAACTACCTACAGAGTGAGGCAGCTGCAGTCTCCAGAAGAGGAGATGGTATAGGGCCCATGACATAAAGGATATATGCTTTTCTTACTGGTATCAACCATGACAAACTGGCAGCGTACCTTCTGGTTCAGTCTTGGGAAGGAGCCTAAGGACAAGTCCCAGTGCAACAAGGGAAGAATCCTGACTTACTAGCAACATGAACCTTGGGCATAGGAAGGAGACTCATCTTTGTCTTAGGAGTCTCTCAACCAAACTCCTGACTTATGCCAAGCAGTCAGTGTAAAGATAAGCTTCTAAGAGTGCGGAAGAACACGGATTTTGTAATAGAGCAAGTGATCAGTCACTGTGGACAGCAGCTCATGCTCAGGTCAGATGTGTAGTGGATGGTGCTCCGGAGACAGCTCTGCTCAAGTCCTTCCCAAGATACAAGTGAACTATCTGGTAACCCTTTTCTTGGTTAGACGGCTCTACTCTACATCGCTCAATCAGCTCTGGTGAAGCAATGTGAAAAAACTTTTTTAATCTAAAGGCAGAGCTCTAGTGAGACATGTGAAGACTATGGCAGCTGGTGTAACTTCTTCTCCAGCAAGGACTTGCTGAGCAGTTTCCCGTCTCAGGGAGCACCCAGAGTGAGAAGCAAGGGCAGCAGGAAGAACAAGTGTGGTGCTGAAGGTGACAGGTGAGGGTGAGGAAAAGCAAGTAAGGGAATGAGAATAAGACAGTGAGCAAGAGAAGAGAACTCACATGAGAGCCCACAGGGCAGCTCTCTACAGCTCTCTACAGGTGCCAGAAGAATCTCCCTCAGACTAACTCAACTCCCTACGAGAACAGATCAGGAATATTATTATTTGTAGTGTGTGTGTGTGCGCGCGCGCACGTGTGTGCGCTAGTACTGGGGCTTGAACTCAGGGCCTGGATACTCTCTTAGTTTTTTTCACTCCAAGCTGGCACACTACCACTTGAGCCACAGCTCCACTTTCAGCTTTTTGGTGGTTCACTGGAAGTAAATGTCTCATGGATTTTCAAACCACCATCCTCAGATCTCAGCCTCCTGCGTAACTAAAATTATAGGCATGAGTCACTGGTGCCCAGGTGGAATATAACATTTAAAGTCATCATTTCTCTTAGCTTTTTCTGAACTCAATTTCTAGCAAAAATCTCTGGATAGGATTCCTTAGAATCCTGCCTTCGTGTTACCAAATTCACTCCTCTGAATCATGTTGTGCTGGCTCAGCAACCTGTACCCTTTGCGGCCTTCCTGGGACTTTCCTCGGCCCGCCTCCTAAGGACTGGGGATTGTTGGATACATAAAGGGTGGGGTGGATCCGAGGAACCGGCAAGGGCGGTGTGAGCTAAGGTGAGCCCCACCACTCTTCCCCGCAAGCTCCATCTCACCATCTAACTGTCCATGTTTCCCATCATGACATCACAATGAGACTCTGGGCACAGGGGGCACTGGAGTGGCAGGCTTGCTACCAACATCCCAAATTACCTGAAGAGCTCTTTAGCTTCCAGGAACTGAAGCTGTGCAAACTGTATAAAGCCCGCCTGCTGTAGAATCCTTCTGTACATTACCTGCAAGGAAAGACACGTTTGATCTCTGAGCCATCTTAAAACCATTACCAAAGGGGGACACCCACAAGTCAAGCTACCTGATAATGACTACAAGGATATATGATGACATTATGATTTTCAAAAAGAAGTATATCCAATTATATATAGTCATTCTCTAGCATTAAAGAGGGATTGTATTCAGAATCCCTATAGATAGCAACATACAAGTACACCTATGTAAAACAGCACACTACTCCACACAACCCCTACACATCCACCAGCTCTGTCAATCATCTCTACATAAAATGCAGCACCTAACACAATGGAAATGCTCTGTAAACAGTTGTTACACTGTATCATTTGGGGAATAATGATAAGAAAATAATCAGTACACATGTCATTTTTATTTATTTTTGCAATACCCCAGATTGAACCAAGACCTTCATACACACTAAACAATCTCTGAGCAACATCTCCAGTCCCCCACAATTTATTTTTTTTTTAATATCACTGATCTGCAGTTGATTGGATTCATTGCTCTGGAAGCTACAGCTGAGGAGAGGCTGATTGTATTTTGTATACACACACAGACACACACACACACACACACACACACACACACACACACACACTTCACAGATTTTTTTCCTGAGTCCTTGTGCATAGCCTTCTCCTCTACCTTTCTCCTCATTGACCCGCAGGGTCTCCTTGGTTGCTTCTACCTCTAGCTGCTCAGGTGACTACCACAGCTCCAGAGGCCTGGTTGTACAAGTGCTGCCCATTCCCCCACACTTCTGGAATAGACTCTTCACAGGAGTATTTCTCAGATCATCCCTCAGACACAAGGCTGGGCTCACATAACCACTGAAGAGATACAGATATATAGACTTTCTCAGCAGAGGCTGGGCAGGTGCCATACTTCTCTCAATGTCCTATTTCCTGGTGACATCTGTGCTATGCATATAGCTGACTAAAGTTCCTGCTATAAATGTGCCAGTCCACCTGAATCTGACCCACCCAAGACCATGCAGTCCTCAACCACAGGACCCTTGTTCTGATAACACCCGGCAACAGCAAAACACACCTCAGAAACTTGCTTGTGGTACCAATCCAACCTCCAGTCTCAGTGCCAAGCGACCATGTCTGAGTTCTACCCAAGCCTGATCTGACACAGCTTCTGCACATGTCTCTTTGCTCTGGTCTCATAGATTCTGTCACCCCCATTCAAGCTCTTGCCACCTCCCAACAGAATGCCTGCGTTTCAGCAGCTCTCTCATCATGAATTCCTCCCCTGCAAATGTGGGTTTCATTAGCTATACAATCCTTGAACACATCATGAATCTTCGTACCCATAGCACTGGCCTCACCTCTGCCCTATACTCAGGGTGTCTGAAGGACTGACTGCCTGATTTGCTGCTAGGGAACCCCACATGCTCATTTTAAAGACAAAAGTTCTGCTCAGAGACGATGGAGAAATTACAGTAATAAATGGTTTCAGTGTGTTTTGCTGTGGCTGGGTGTTACCATGGGTGAATGCTAGAATCATATCCAAACCACAACACAGATATTCTCAACTTTCCCACCCACAGAGAAATGTTTCAATTTACATTCTTACAAGTTACATATAAAAACTCATTTTCCCCACACTCTATGCAAACTCATACATCAAACTCTTGCTCTCTCATTATCTGATAAATAAAAAATATATGGGTGAATTTTTAATGTGCACATGAGTGAATCAAAGCATTCTTTCATGTCTATTAGACAAACAATTTCATTCTAGTTCTCTGTTGGTCTACTCATCTTTCACTTCAGTATTCTAAGAAGTTCTTCACATCCTAGAGAAATTTGCCTTCTTTCTCTGCTGTAAATTACAAATATTTTGCTTTTGGACTTGGTTACAGTAAGTTACCTTTGACAGTAAGGATAAAGCCCTCATGAATAGGATCCATATGCTTCTAAAAGTCCCTGGACAGCTTGCTTCCCATCTACACAGCTATAAACTAGGAGCCTCACCAGAAACCAAGCCTACTGGACCTTCATTTGGATTTCCAGCCTCCAGAATAGTCAGAAGTGAATGCTGGGACCCCCAGTTTCTGATATTTTGCTATAGCAACTTGAACTGAATGAGAAGAAAATATAAATGGCTAATAGCCCCATGAAGAAATGTTCAACATGCCATAAAGGAATTGCAAATCAAAACCACACTAAGACTCCCTTTCATCTCTGTCAGAATGGCAGTCAGCAAGAAAAGAAACAACAAATGCTGGAGGATTTAGGGAAAAGGAACCTTCATTCACTGCTCATACAACTACTATGGAAATAAATATGGAGGGTTCCCCAGAAAACTAAAAATAGATCACTTATGACCAAGGCATACAACTTTTGGACATAAACCCAAAGAAGTATAAGATGCAGATATAAGAAATACACCTGCATACCTATGTTTCTTGCAGCACTATTTACAATAGCCAAATGATGTAATTAGATAAGGTACCCAATAATGATGAATAAAATAGATCTAACATATACACACATACACACAAACTGGAATATTACACAGAAATAAAGAAAAGTAAAATCATGTCATTTTTAGGAAAATAGATGCTACTGGAGATCATCATATTGAGCTGAGAAAAAGCTAACAGGAAAAAAAAAAAAAGAAGCAAAACAAGATACCCTGTTTTTGCTCAGAGACCTAAACACATAATACATATGCATAGACACAAACATAGATACATGCCTTGTATACTAACTATACATGGATAAACACAGAACATAAGTTCAATTAAGGAACTACTTAGGAGTAAAAAGGGAAAAGAGTGAGTAACTTTTTGTAATAAATTGCAAGTACATAGGAAAACAGTATACAGACCTCAATTAAAGCTGTTTATTAATAAGGGGTTGGGGGGAAGGGAAAGAAAACATGGCTGTGTTGGGGGTAGATACATTAAGAGGAAGTTGGATTAATGAGAGTCAAAGAAGATGAATATGGCTAAAATAGATTGCCTGCATGTATGCAAATAAATACTGAGGAAATTGAGTTATGGCTGAAGTGGTAGAGTGCTAGCCTTGAGCAAAAACCTCAGGGACAGCACACAAACCCAGGTACCAAGACTAGCACAAGGGAGGGAGGGAGGGAAGGAGGGAACGAGGGAGGAAGAAAGAGAAAAAGAAAGAGAGAGAGAGAAAGGGAGGGGGGAGGGAAAGGGAAAGGAAGAGCAAATGAAGAAAGGAAAGAAAGGAAGGAGGGAAGGAAGGAAGGAAGGACAATAAATAAACTGAAACTGTATTAGGAGGGAAAGGGAGAGTGATAGAGGAAAGAAAATTGATTAGACTACATTGTATACATGTGTGGAAATGTCACAATGAAATGACCCTTTGCATACTAATAAATAAGAAGTGGTGGTGTAGTTTTTTCCAATTTTTATTCCCTTCCTATAGAAAAAGGGAGTAATTAGTTCACAGCATTATTGGTCATAAATAAAAGGGAGAAGCAACTCAAATGCCCATCACAGGTGACCTGGATAAGCAAAATATGGTATTGTGTCCATATAATATCCTTCTTCAGAAAAGAGATTCTGACATATATCACAACAGGAATGAATCCTGAAGACATCATGTGGAGTCACAAGCCAGTCACAAAAGGAAAACAGCATGCCAAAAGCCTACAAATACATAACCAAATACTCAACAAGGCAGCCTACAAATCTGAAAACAGGAGCCAGGAGGGACAAGCCAGCGCCAGTGACAGGGCCTGGGAGGTGCCCCACACTTGGGGTAGGGAAGCAGAGAGAGCAACAAAAGGCTGAGATAGAGAAAGTCAGAGTCCCCACACCCTCCTGGAAGCTGCTAAGAAGCTGGCAATTGTCCAAGGACAGCAGTGGAAAGTGGAAGGAGAACCACATAGACAATGAATGTCACCCCTGGACAGTGCAAAACAGAAATAAAAAAAAGAAAGCAAAGCCCAAAGCTAGGCATCCAAGTTGCTACTGGGAGATTCAGATTATTATTATTGTGTGGGGTTTTTTGTTTGTTTTTTTTGTTGGTCGTGGGGCTCTTCAACTCAAGTGGAGTGGTCTACCACTTGAGCCACAGCGCCACTTGCAGTTTTCTGGTGATTAATTGGAAATAAGAGTCTCATGGACTTTACTGCCGGGGCTGGCTTTGAACCACGATCCTCAAATCTCAACCTCCTGAGTAGCTAGATTACAGGAATGAACCACTGGCGCCTGACTATGCTTTTTGGTTTTTTTACTACAGTGCTTTATAATGGTGCACTGTAGAAAGTTTCTCAAAGGTAAGTGAGTCATGAATTTTATATGTAGCCCAAAGGGTCTTCAAGGTGATTTCTACAGAAGCTGAAATCCCAGAGGATTGAGGTTTGAAGCCAGCCTGGATAGAAAAGTCTATGAGACTCCATCTCCAATTAAAATGCCAGACAGAGGCCTAGCTCAACTGCTGAGCAAGCAAGCTCAGTGAGACCAAGTTCAAACCCTGGTACTGGAAAAATAAGAATAAAAATGAGGAAAGTGGTACTGGTTAGTACTAAGTTCTTCTGAGGAGAAAAAACAAAGTTTTCCCGTGTCATACAGAGTGCCTGACACAGGGCAGGTCAGCAGCTGTTTTCCTTGGTGTCACCTCCTGAGGCAGGTTAGGCACATGTCCATGAGAGAATACTAGGCCAGAGAAGTAGCTGGACCAAGCTATAAATCCTACCGGATATGAACTTCCCATGGGCACCAATGGGCCTGAGGTATGTGAATCAAAGAATCTGGTGTGTGGGGAGGACAATCATTACACAGTAGTATGCAGGACGAGCTGCAGAAACACATGCAGAGACAGATCAATCCCACAGCAGTGTCATGCGGGATGCATGCGGGAGAAAGGTCATCCCACAGCAGCACACAGGATGAGCTGCAGGAGCAGAGGCGGCTGTCAAAACAACTCAGGGAAAACAGAAGGAGGTTCTAAATGCCTTCATAACAACAGAACTGAGACTAAAGGCTGACCTGAATAGACTTGTGAAGAAGTGTCTCTATAGCCCAGGTATGAGTGTAGAGCAAAACAGGGAGAAAGCAGCAAGCAGCAAGAAGGAAAAAGAAACAACACGGAGCTAGTAGATGGGACAGAAAAGGGGCTCGTTGCTTCAAGTACTATCTGTGTATCTACTCTTGGAAAAAAGAGTAGAGGAGGAAAAAGCAACAATCAGATAGAATACTGAAAGCCTCTATATAAGAAAATGTTACAGACTTAGAGTGCAGTGCACGTGGTGTGTGTGTGTGTGTGTGTGTGTGTGTTCTCGGGTGTGTAATGAAGGATGGTGTCTCCCCATGTACATCATGGCCCTTGAAGGACCTGCATGGTGAGGGGGCACTGAACACAGCCCCTCTTTATAAAAGAACATTAGCCAGATGCAAACAGTGCAGGAGATCTGACTCCGACCCTGTGTCTGCCCCCCAAGTAGGGTAAGGCTGCCGCTACTGCCCTAAGTGCAAGTGAACCTCTGTAAGTGCCCTGCACAAAATCAGGCCCTGCACTTGACAGTCACTCTTCTTTTTGCTTCTGCTGCCCCCTGCTGGATGCTCAGATCAGTTTCCTTCGGCAACAGTAAAGAACACAGGAAAACTTCATCAGTGTTACAAATAGATAAAATACCTTCTGTCCAACCCTACAAGCGACACACCTTCTTTGTTAAAACCTGCCCTGCTAGATATAAAATTCAATGTCAAAACCTGCCCTTTCCTTTGCAACTGAGGCCTAAACACATCTTCTGTCCAACAGTATTCCCAGAACTAACTTTACTCTGAGAACTTTTAATGACCAAGTAGTAAGTCACATGAAGTGCATGCACACATCAAGATTATGTTTAATTAGTCTCAAATAATAGGTAGAGTAACCTAAATGTGCCAACATCTGAATGAGTAGCAATTTCTGCAAAGTTTGATTTCTATCAGTTATATTTAAAACACCAATTACTCTTTTTGTTGTTGCTGGTCTTGGGGCTTAAACTCAGGGCCTGGGTGCTATCCCTGAGTTCTTTTTTGCTCTACTACTTTGCCATAGCTCCACTTCTAGTTTTCTGCTGGAGATAAGAATCTCATGGACTTTCCTGCCTGGGCTGGTTTCAAACCACAATCCTCAGATCTCAGCTTCCTGAGTAGCTAGGATTACAGGTATGAGTCGCTGGTGCCTGACTTACCGATCACACTTTTAAAGGTAGTTTCTTATGCATATTTTCTCCTGGGGCTGGTATGAGTAGTGGCTCATGTCTGGAATGCCAGCTACTCAGTAGGGGGAAATTGGGAGGGTCATATTTTAAGGCCATCCCAAACCAACAAGCTGGATTTCAAGGTGCACATCCATCACACCAGAGATACAGGAGGCCCTAAGCAGGAAGGTTTTGGTCTGAGATCAGACTGGGGAAAAAAATGCAAGACCCTAGCTGAAAAATAATTAAAAGCAAAAGAGGGGTGGAGGCATGGCTAATATAGTAGAATACCACCTTAATGTATACAATGTACTGATTTCAAATCCAATGTCCCACCAAAAAAACTTTTTTTTCTCCCCACTGAGCATGCTGCTGCATGCCTATAATCCTAGCAGAAGACTGAGGATTCCTAAGGCACTCAATCAGCTGGGTTCCTGAAATCTAAGGACTTTGTCAATGTAATGGGCAAAGTACTTCTTACAAATGACTGAACCCCATCCAAACAAATACAAATTCTGAAATCAAAGACCAATTAACCCAACTTCATTCTTCCATTTATAAGAACTACATCAGTGATTCTACTCAGAAGAATGTTGATTAGAAATACATTCAGCTTGGGCTGGGAATGTGACTTAGTGGTAGAGTGTTTGCCTAGTATACATGAAGTCCTGTATTTGATTCCTCAGTACCACATATACAGAAAAAGCCAGAAGTGGCTCTGTGGCTCAAGTGGTAGACTATTAGCATTGAGCAAAAGAGGCTCAGGGACAGTGCCCAGGCCCTGAGTTCAAGCCCCAGGACAACAACAATGATGATGACAACAATGATGAAGACAAGAAGGAGGGGGAGAAGGAGGAGGAGGAAGAAGAGGAGGAAGAGGAAAAAGAAGAAAGGAAGGAAGAAAGGAGGGAGGGAAGGAGGGAGGGAGGAAGGGAGGGAGGGAGGGAAAAGAAATGCATTTAGCCTAACAAGGACCAGAATCACATTCAAAGTTGAAACCTGACCTATCTGCCATTGCTGTGCAACCTTAGTGGAGCTATTTAGCTGCTCTGCAACCTGTTTCCTTGCCTCTAAACCACAGATATGTTGAAAGAAAGAAATCATAGAAAGCCATGTATAGACTGTGTAGAGTCTAATGTCAAATAAAGCCAATATATGTGACTTAATTCCAGATGTTTTGTAAATGGCATGCTTTCCTGGGACTAGTCAATTACCAACCTGAAATTTTTCTTTTGGAATGTTCCTCCGGGCTCCTTTCGCTAAAACCAAAGCCTCCTCCACTCTGTGGCTTGCTAGCAGATCCTGTATTTGTTTTTCCAGAGGCAATGGGACCAAGATATAAACTCCTTTACTTGTGGCAACAATCACTCTTCCTGGGAAGAAATTTAATATTACTGGAAAGGAAAAAAGCACTGCTTGCAAGAACACATGCAGCTTTCCTCAGTCTGGATCATTATCTGGCTTGCTTATCAATTTCTCCAGTTTTGCCAAGAGAATTTCTGCAGAAACTATAAGTTAATGCCTCCTTTTCTCCTATAAACTTGTCAGGAAAAGAAACACTCTTAGAATTACATTTCCTTAGCATTTTAAAAATAAGTACTAGTAAATTTAAACTCAGTGTAGGAGATATGCAATACAGACTCTGCACAAGTTTCAGAGCTAGCCTCATACAAAATTTGATAGAAATTCTTTTCCTTTCCTTCCAAATTAGTTTACATACACTAAGCTTTATTTCAATATTCTGAATGATGAAATATTTCATGCCCTCCTTCCCCCACCCCAAATAGTTCCAAGTCTTGGTATTTTCTTTCTCATTTCTCTACCATCCTACCAGATCACCTGGCTCATGGCCAACATCGTCACCCCTGTACCTGTGAAAGCCTCAGGTGGCCTGTGGAAGGGTCAGGACTACAATGCAAGACTAACTCCTGCTATTGAGCTTTCAAATTAAATTTGAAACTTTCAGCTAAGTATTAACTGTTCACAGGAAGCAAACAAGCTCATTGGCAAAGGTGTCATTCCCTGACTCCCCTCTGTACACACCAAGCACTGTGGCCCTACTCTGCTGCTGGGGGGCTGGAAGCTCATATTGGTGCTTGTTCACACACACTTTTCTACCAGACAGGTCTTCACAGCACACTGCTTGCCTGACTCTTATACAACCTCTCTCACGAGGCCCTTCCTGCTACCTCCAGGAAGTGCATCCTCCTCTGCTCTCTTAGGAGCCTTATTCCATGTCTGTTGAGATATAAGCCATTGTAACACTGCATTCGACTGTCAGTCTCCCTGTAACCCTACAGTTGCTGCAGCTGCTGAGACACAGGGACTGTGTTAAGAGTCATTCATTTGTGGATCTTCCATGCTCAGCATGAAGCCATTCCAAATGGGTCCTTAACATCATTTACTGCAGATGTATCAAAAAAGGTTTAATATGTAGATTTCATTAACATGTCTATGTCAACAGGTACCTTCAAAGTCCTGCAAGATATGGCCCTCCTTAAAGGGCAGGGTCTGTTTTTGCTGTTGATCCAACATGCTATGGACTGTGATGAACTCAGCATCGAGCGCAATGACATATGGGAAGCAGATGGCTGCCCCTACCACATTCTCCGACCAGTGCACTGGGGCCCGCTGAGAGATCCCAGCCACCGTTGCAAACATGCCTAAAAAAAAATCAGGACAAAAGCGTTAGCAAATATTCAAATAACACTAACTTCTTCCTAAAGATACATCTGAGTGCAGAATACCTCCTCCCCCGCTTATATTTCAAGAAAATCAATAAATCCAAGCACCTATTGCTCATGCCTGCAATTCTAGCTACTCAAGAGGCTAAATGTGAGGGACGCGATTCAAAGCCTTCCCAGGCAAGAAAGTCTGTGAGACTCATCTCCAAATAACCACCAAAAAGTCAGAAGTGGGCAGGTGCTCAAGTGGTAGAGCTCCAACCTTGAGTGAAAAAAGTAAAGGACAGCACCAAGGCCCTGAGTTTAAACCTAAGTACAGCACAGAGACAGAGAAAGACACAGAAGGAAAAAAAGGAAAAAGGAAGAAAGGAAGGAAGGAAGGAAGGAAGGAATACACTCAGGTGCAAAGAACTCTATTGGACTTTGGCAAAGATAACCACCTTACCTAGAACGTCAATCATATCTGCTTCAAAAATAACAAGGTTTAAAATGTTTCCTCTTAGCCAACATGCATTTAAAGTACACATCCTCATGGGGGGAAAAGCCACTTTCAACCATATGTGATGCTTTCTTTCAGCTGGCTAGCCCTCTGTTCCAGTTCCTTGTCCCTCCCATATTCCCACACACACTTACTATGTGCTCAGCACTCCACCAAGTGTTCTTTCGGGAACCGGCCATACACTGAGTAAAGGTTTAACTTTGCATATAACTGGGTATATTCCTTTACTATGGAAGAGTTGTATAACTTACCATAATAAAGGAGTTTTACAATGCAAACAATGAACATAGTTTTACAAGGAAGCCTCATAGCTGAGGCTAATAGGGACTAGCACATGTCTAGGCAGGAAGACAGATGGATTAAAAATAATAAATCCAGACACAGATCCACTAGCATCAAGGAATAAAGCCATCTAAATAAGTGAGGAAAAGATGGCCTTTTCAATAATTTGTGAGATCACTAGGAAGCCATATAAAATCCATACTTTATGTAAGAAATGAGACTGAAAAGTAAGAAAACAGAGGTGAATTTAGAGGATGAGGAACTATTCCTAATGGTACCAGTCCAGAAGGAACTGAGAAGGGCTCTGGTGGCTGACTACTTAGCTACTCAGGAGGTTGGGATCAAGAGGCTCATGGTTTGAAGCTAGTCTGGGTATAACAGACTGCAAGTCTCCATTTCTAGCTAGCTAGCACAAAGGTTGACTGGAGGTTCAAGTGGTAGAATGCCAACTAAGTGATGCCCTGAAGTCAACCTGACAACAGGAAAACCAAAAAAAAAAAACAAAACAAAACAAAAATAACTTTAAAAATTGAAATATTAAAAAAATTGAAATGTTAAGATTATATTATATAAACTTTTTAAAGCAGCTTTGGGCCTGGCACCAGCGGCTCATACCATAATCCTAGCTACACTGGAGGCTGCGATTTGAAAATTGCAGTTTGGTGAGACAGAAAAGTCCCTAATTAAACACCAAAAAAGGTGGAAGTGGAGCTGTGGCTTCAGTGCTAGAGAACTAGCCTTGCCTAGGCTAGATCAAGCCCAGTATGTATGTGCACACATGTACGCACACACGCCAGCACACGCGTGCGCACACACACACTCAGAGCCAAAATGAAGCTACCATTTAGCTAAGAAAGAGGAAGATATATGTATATACCATTTATAAGCTTTCTTTAAAAATGAAAGATAAACCCACAAAATACAGGCCATGAGTGAGAGAAGGAGAAAGCAGGTAGGCAGAACATACACTAATCTTTTTTTGAGTAGGCCTTGCTATATCTACCTACTTTAGAAATCTGTTTTATGTAATGAAAAAATAAACAAAACTAATTTCCTGAAATCTGAAGGTAAAGTGAAGGGAATCAATGTAACTGCAGCTCTAGTTGTTGGCAAAACCACACAGAAGGGAACTAGTCCAAGTGACTAGAAACACAGCAACTCTTGATTGCTAATGTCCTAAGGACAAAAGGCACCAGCACCAATCAGCCTTTTCCCGGTAATTACATTGTGGGGACAGCAGGCTGGCACTGCAGTTCTGATCCACGCACTGTGGAGTCAATCAAAGCAATGCTTACAGGGTAGAAGGGAAGTGGGATTTTTGATGTGTGTGGCTGAAAGGAGACACCAGGATGCAGATGGGTCCTCTCCACACGATGTTAGGATGGAGTTATCTTCAAAGTATGGGCTTCCTGGCACTGACTTCCAAAATGCCTGGAAACCAGCACTCTGGCACCCAGCACCCAGGCTGTAACAGCAAGCTCCTGGGAGGAATGGCTAGAACTAGATCTAGGGTATCAAGTACATGAAAAGAACAGCACACACCAGAGAGCCAGGGAGCTATAGGATTTCTAGACAGTCAAAGGGCTCAGGAGTCCACCTGAATAAGTGCTCAGGCACTGATGGAAACAGCACACCTCCAGCACTAAACAGTTCCCAATGAAGCTACTAAACAGGCAACTGTAGAAGGCAGAAGTGATAGCCTCATGCTGCCTTTTTATAACAAAGGACTTGGGGATAACCAAATAATCAAGGAGGAGAAAGTTTGCTTAACTGAAGCATTCTCAAGAATACACAAAGGAGGAACCCACAGAAACACAATGTTGCCCATTGGCAGACCCAATGGGTCTAGGCCATGACCATCAATAGCTTCCCTCAGCATGAAGGGATCTGAAAAGGCCTTGTGTAACCCCTGACAGAAGTACAGTTGTCTTGGCTCCCCACAAAGCAAGCAAAGAAAATCTCCTAATTACCCATTGCAAAACCCCCCACAGAGATCACAGGGCCTAGAGAAGCTCATTGAACAATACGAGGGGCCAAACCATCAAAAGCCAGAGTCTGAAAAACCATCCAATTTCGTCAGCTAAAAATTAAGGGAAAATAAAGAGGGAGAGGAGGAACCTAAAGAACAAGAAAATTAACATCAGATCTATGAACCAATGGCTACATAAGGCTTTGGTTGGAACTGCTACAAATATATGGGAAAAACACAAATACTTAAACATAAGTGTACATGTGTTTTATGTACATCTATTATCCATGATAAAATAGAATAAACGCAACATGCCTTGTACATTAGATAACAAGGAACTACTATCATTTTTTTAAGTTAGAATTAGTATTATGGTTTTCCTTTCCTGCATGGGTATCTGACTCTTTGAACTACATATTTTGTCCACAGATTAAATGCTAGGATGTCTGGGGTCTGCTTCAACATCAAGCAGGGGGAGTACAGTTGACAGATGTGTAAAGAACTGACAGTGACTGAAGGAGGGTGGTGGCTATCTCAGGTTTATTATACTATTCTCTGTACTGGGCTGGGAAGGTGGCTCAGTGGTAGAGCACTTGCCTTGCATGCCTGAGGCCCTGGGTCGATTCCCCAGCACCACATAAGCAAAAAGGAAAAAAGCCGGAAGTGGCGCTGTGGCTCAAGTTGTAGAGCGCTAGCCTTCAGCTGAAGAGCTGAGGTACAGCGCCCAGGCCCAGAGTTCAGGGCCATGACCGGACCCCCCCCCCAAAAAAAAAACTATTCTCTGTACTATGTAAGTTTATATAGCTTTCCATAAAAAACTCATAATAAGAAATCTGCACTCTTTTGAAGGAAAGCATGGTCAGAGCAAATATTTTTTTCAAAAAATAAATATCTAAGCTGGGCATGGTGGCTCATACCTGTAATCCTAGCTACTCAGGATGAACAAGGTTCCAAACCAGTCAGATCAAAAAGTTCTTGGGACCTCATTACAACAGTAAAAATTAGCCATGGTGTCATGTGCCTGTCACTCTAGATAGTTGGGAGGCTGAAATCAGAGGCTGAGATTGGAAGAATCATACATAGGACAAAAAGTTCATGAGACAACATCTTAATGGAAGGAGCTGGGCATGGTAGCACGTGCTTGTCTTTCCAGTTATAGCAGAAAGCATAAAATAGAATTTTTGGTACAGGCACAGGCTCAGGAAAAAAGCAAGACTTGGAGTCAAAATAACAATTATGTATTCTGACCCTGACAAATGGAGCTTTGACTTGTTAGTAGAGCACCTGCGTAGCAAAGCCATCAAGAGACTGGGTGACCATCACTCATGGTTATAATTCTAGCTACTCAGGAGGCTGAGTTCTGAGGACTAAGGTTTAAAGCCAGCCTAGGCCGAAGTTTGTAAGACTCTTATCTCCAATTAGCCAGAATAAAGCTGGAAGTGGAGGTATGACTCAATTGGTAGAACTCCAGTCAAAAGTGAAAAACCTAAACAAGAATGTGATACTCTGAGTTCAAGCCCCAGAATACTGCAGAAAGAGGGGGAAAAAAATCTTAGGAAAAAGACTTGTAAATGTTTATTCTTACAGTTATTTACCTAAATTTCCTCTCCACTTTGGCAAAAAAAATACACCTGTCTGTGACTAGTCTGGTTCTGTTCTACTGATTTCACATGCACTGGTGGAGCTACAGCACTCACTAGTCATGAGACATTGGCCAACCACATGTGGTCCTGCCACAGTCTCACCACACAACCCAATAAGGCTTGAACCTCGAAAGGATGTTTCAGTCCTCAGTAGATTTCAAATCTGACTGTGGTCAGCTCCTTCTACAAGTGTGCTATGCTACTTACTGGTATCATAGCTGACATAAGTACTCCGGGACTACCCAACACTTATACTGCCTCACAATGGGTTTCTTAGAGCTTGTCGCTAGGCAACACACACAACTAGTAACTTTTCACAGTTGACTGCTTGCTCCCACTGCAGAATGCAGTTGGAGATATTCTGCGCCCCCCAACCCCAGGGCAGCAGGCAGGGCTCCCGTCCCTCCTCACCCAGGCCTCCGGGGCCAGCCAGCAGGAACTCCTGTCTGCCTATCCTCTTGACAATAGGTGGCTTCTCCTCACTGCAGTAGGGAAACAGGTCCTGGGAGAGGCCCGTGCTATAGTTCAGGATGATGTACTGTGTGGTCAGGGCCAGGCACAGAAAGTAGCCATCTACAGCCACAGCCAGGGGCTGCTCTGGGGTGGACACTTCCTTGACGATCTGAACGCGGTCCTCGTACACCAGAAACATCTGGATGGTCCTACGTTTCACTGAGATGATGCACACTTCCACACAGAATGGGTCCCCACTCACAGGGTTCTCATTCAGAGCAAATGTCACCGCTCCTTTGATGCGAGCCCCAGAGGGGACAGGCTCCAGGTTTAGCATGTTGACCAGGGTTATGGAGTTGTCACACAGCACCAGCAGCCTGTTAAGGGCTGAGGCTGCTCGCAGCTCATTCACGGGCTTCTTGAAGCCCAGGTGCCTGTGCAACTGTTTGGTGGCAGTGAATGAGGATGTGCCGGTGGGCAGTGTCTTCTCCTCCAGCAGGAAGTGGTAAATGAAGCCGTCAGCCGTGCCGATGTAGAGGTTCCTGCCGCAGCACTCCACGCACTCGATGTGGATGCGTTCCTTGTCGCCTGCCAGCAGCTCCTGCTCCACAGCAGAGACCAACGTGAAGGCCTTGATGCTCATCATGCCGACAGGGTGGTCTGTGGAAGAGGGAGAAACTGAATCCCGGAGGAATGAGGAATGCACAGAAACATCAGTTCTCAGTCTATTAAGATATATTCATTCCCTGTTTCGCATTTCAGCTACAAAAAGAAATCTGAATGAGATCTTCCTATGATCTGTCCTACCAGCTAACGGGGGACTCTGGGTATATGCACACACAGCCTAGTGGTATATCCCACTAACTCCCGACAGAGCTGAACACTAGAGGAAACTTCCTCCGTTGCTCCTGGGAGAAATGTCTACAGGCAGGAGACCTGTGTTCATCCACAGACAACAAGACAGAAAGCAGAGATAGTGCCCATCTTTCCCTCTTACTTTCTATGATTGACAGAATGGCATGACACAACTATAGGGCCTGCCAGAAACACGGAGGCAGAAAGCACGAGCGGGATTCCCATGTTCCTCCCAGTAAGTCCGGGAAACCACCTCGGGGGCACATCTGCTTCCCACAGCAACCGTGCTGTAAAACAGCAAAGCCGTTCTTCCAAACATCTTCCAAGTGGCACAGTGAGCTACGCCAAGATTTGTTAAGCACATCCCTGGCATTTCACCACTGATGACCCATGGGTCATCACTACTCTCTCCCATCACCTCTCACAAAGTCAGAGACAGAAGAATCCCAAGACAGCCTGGCTTGGCCTCTCTAAGCAGGAAAGGAGCTTCCCAAAGCAAATCCCACACCTGTGAGGGCAGGAATCACAGAGAACACAATCATGTCTATTTCACAGAGAGGACCACGAGTTACAAGGATGTTTGCCTCTCCTCCATTGTTCAAGCAGTCCAGAGACGGAACAAGATTGTCTCCTGACAGATTAAATTCCTTAATCCTTTGAATCATTCCTGTGAAGGCTAGAACAACTCATCAATTTTCAAGAAAGGTTCAGACATACGGAAACAAAGGAATCACACTGGTGGTGTATCACCTCAAACATTTTAGAACCCCAAACATTTTAAAACCCCATTTTCCATCCATAGGAGTAACAGAAGCTACACATAAGTGAGAATCCAGATCCCTTCCCTGAAACAACAAATTCCCAGACAGAGGGCATCCCAGGCCTGAGGTCCTGTGGTACAAATGTTTGAGTCATTGTCATCTCCCTTCCACGGCTCCCCAACTTTCCATGAGTTTCACTCATTGCTCCCCTTTCATGTGTTCAGTGGGACAGGTCCTGATGGTGAAGCCCTCAAGAAAGGGATTATCAACGAGGACACAGTGAGGAGAGGCCAATGCTGCTTACAGCTCGTTCATGGGCATCTTGAAGCCCTGGTGTCTTATGATCCTGAATCAACCAGTATATACTAAAAGTATATAATACAGTACACTGGGATGCAATACTCCTATAAGGTAAGGAAATCTGTTGGTTTAATTTGCCACATTTACAAATTTAAAAAGTCATATTTCAATAGATGTGGAAAAGTATTAAATCAAATTCAACAATCATTCACACCAAATACAGGTATCATGTTATCCTTCTAAAGCAAACAGACAAAACCTATAAGAGCAAAATTTCAAACTTATTTCCTTTAAAATCAGACAAAAATGTCTATTATTGTCTATTATTACAGGAGCTGGGTATAGTGGTATATGCCTGTAATCTCCGCTATTCAGAAGGTAGAAGCAGGAAGATCAAAGTCTAACCAAAGTACAAACCAAAAAGGGCTAGAAGATGTTTGGCTCAAATTGAAGAACAATTTTTGAGGCCCTGGGTTCAATCTCCAGTACTGCAAAAAAAAAAAGTATAAATAAATAAATATTTACAGTTACCATGTATAACTGGCTAAATTAAGTTCCAACCAAAATATGCTGAAGCCCCCAGAATCTGTGACTGTGACCCTGGGTGGAATCAGGATCTTGATAGAAGATCAAGTTCAGATGAGGTCAGGCTAGTGAGTGTCAGTACAACTGCTGTGCTCACAATAGGGGAAGTGAGATGCGGACATACACAAAGGAGAAACAGGCAAAGATATGGGAGAAGACCAGGATTTACAAGCCATAATCTATGGATACTTCCAGAAGTTCTGTGAGAGAAAACAGACTCTCGCTCACAACCCTGCCTGCCATATCCAGATGTCTATACTCTGAAACTGTAAGAGGATGGTTCTGTTTAAGGCAACCAGACTGTGGTATTTTGTTATGGTAGCTCTAGCAAAATATCTGTACTCAACACAGTGAAAGTCTGTCAACACATACACACGTGTGCACACACATGCATACTCACACACAAGCCTCCCCCCACCCACAGAATAGTTTTAAAAAAACTGAAAACAGCCAGGCAGTGGTGGCTTATGCTTGTAATCCTAGCTACTCAAGAGGCTAAGATCCGAGGATCACATTTTAGTTTTTTTGTTTTTGTTTTTTTCTTTTTTGTTTCTTTGCAGTTGTAGGGCTTGAACTCTAGGCCTGGGCACTGTCTCTCAGCTCTTCAGCTCAAGGCTAGTGCTCTACCACTTGAGCCACAGCGCCACTTCCAGTTTTCTGGTGGTTAATTGGAGATAAGAGTCTCACAGACTTTCCTGCCTCAGCTGGCTTTGAACTCTGATCCTCAGATCTCAGCCTCCTGAGTAGCTAGGATTACAGACATGAGCCACCAGCACCTGGCTCAAGGAGCACATTTTGAAGCAAGCCAGACCAGTTAAAACCATAAGATTCTTATTTCTAATAACCAGCAAAAAGCTGGAAGTAGAGGTTATAACTCAAGTGGTAGAGTGCCAGCCTTGAGACAAAATCCAAGTAAGAGTGAAGTCCTGAATTCAAGCTATAGTATAAGCACAAAGAAAAAAAAAACCCTGAAAGCAGAGACAAAATTATAATTACTCACAGATGATAGTTTATAGGAAAGACCATGAATTAGCTATTAGAATAAGAGCCTAAAAGTATTAAAAAATACAAATATATCAAAGCAATCTGCACTTGTATATATAAACAATAATTAGAATTTTTAATCTTAAAAAGTACTAAAAACATAAGATATAAAAAGAATTATCAAACAAGCTAGATGCTGGTAGCTCATGTCTACAAACCTAGCTATTAGGAGGCTGAAATGTGAAGATCACAGATCAAGGCCAGCCCAAGCAGGAAAGTCTATGAGACTTTTTTTTTTGGTTGTGGGGTCTGAACTCTGGGCCTGGGCACTGTCCCTCAGCTCTTCAGCTCAAGGCTAGCACTCTACCACTTGAGCCACAGCACCACTTCCAGCTTTTTCTGCTTATGTGGTGCTAAGGAATCGAACCCAGGGCCTCATGCATGCAAGGCAAGCACTCTATCACTGAGCCACCTTCCCAGCCCTATGAGACTCTTAAAAAAAAAAAACAAAAAGCCAAAAGTGGAGCTGCGGCTCAAGTGGTAGAGCACTAGCCTTGAGCAAAAAAGATCAGGGACAGCGCCCAGGCCCTGAGTTTCAAGCCCCAGGACCAGTACACACACAAAAATAGTTATCAACGATGTATAATATCCATATGGATAAAACAATATTTCCTTGTTGGACATCAAGGAAGACCTAAAAACACCCTTCACAGGCTTTTCTACAGAAATCAACAAACCGGTCTTAAACACTCAAAGGACATCAAAGGGTCTAGAATTGCCAAAACAGTCTTGAAAATGAAGAAAACTCATGGATTTCAGGAATCACTGTAAACTAGAGAGTAGATAATTACGACTTGGGTTTATACATCTGTACTCTTAGCTACTTGTGAGTCTGAGACAAGAGGATTACTTGGTTTCAGGAGTTCAAGGCTATCTTGTCTCAAAAACAAACAATGGCAGGCATTAGTGGCTCACACCTGTAATCCTTGTTACTCAAGAGACTGGAATCTGAGGATCACAGTTCAAAGCCAACCTGGGCAGGAAAGTCCACAAGACTCTACATCTCCAATTAGCCAGCAAAAAGCTGGAAGTGAAGTTGTTCCTCAAGTGGTAGAGTGCCAGCCTTGAGCTAAAAAGCTAAGGGACAGCACCAGGCCCTGAGTTCAGGCCTCAGAATCAGCACAAAAACAAAGACATAGAAACAATTAGGTCAAGCCCCAGATTGGGAGAAAAATTTGCAATGCATACATCTGACAATTGACTCATATGCAGAATATTTACAGACTACAAGCCAATATTAAGACAAATTTATGTTTTACAAGAGCAAAAAGACTGTGACATTGTCACAGACAATGACAATGAATGACCAAAAAGAGTAACAAGATGTTCATTAGTCACCAGAAACATTTAAGGCATAATAAGGTAAGATTTCACATTTACTAACACCAAATGTCAAGGAAGCAATCTCTGATTTTGATGAATGGTACTGCTGCTTTGGAGATTTGTTTGGCAGGTTTTTACAAAGTTAAACATGCATCGATCTGTTAACTTCTTCCTCTGATACTACATCTCTTGGATGTGCTTCTATAGCCAAAAAAAGGTTCATACAACATATACTCAGCAAGCTTCTTCATAATTGCCTAAAAAACACAAAGCAGTCAAGTTGTATCTATTTTTATGCATTTAGTTGTGACATGCAAAGGAATAAACTAATGGATAAAGACAAAAAGATAGGACAACTGGGGAATGGGGCTGGGAGAATACTAGGGGTGCCTGGAAAAGCCCATGGTTCTTGGAAGAAGGACAACGAAAGAAAAAAAAAAGGGATAACTCAAAAATCACTGAATGAAAGAAACCACATTTATACTGTGTGCTGCCAAGCACAAGGTTCAAAGATAGGTAACACTAAGCTATGTTGCTAGAAATCAGAAGCACTCACTTTGAAAAGAATGGGGTGACTAAGAATAGGGTGGAAAGGGACAAAGGGAACTTTCACTTTCTGCGATGACAGAAATAGTCTATAGCTTGTTTGAGTTACTGGTTAGACAAGTGTATAATTTGTCAAAATTCATTCACTTGTAGACTTAAGTTGTATGCATTTCATTGTAGGCAAACTTGCTTTACAATGAAAAATTTGTCTTAAGAGACCCAGAGAAAAATGCCATTTCAGTACAA